TAACTTACCGGCGATGCTGTTGGGGTTTAGAGCCGCGCCTTGGTTAGTTGCTATAAAAGTCGCCGTGTCCTCCACCGCGGTTATAGGCATGCTAACCAGCAGACCGTTGGCGGTGGCGGCTGACTAGTCCGTGAGCGTTCTCGATACCCTAAACTCCGCTTTCAGCCAGCCCTCCAAGTGAACCGGGGAATACTTACTGTCCTAGAATAGCGTCAAGGCGCATCGCCAGAATTTCCGGCCAATAGTAGTCCAGCCGAACGGGTAGCTGGACACTTCGCGCTGCTGGAACGTGGCTTGCGCCATGGCCTCGAACAGCTCGACGCACTCGTCGACGGATTTGCCGTCCGCAAGAGCGCACGCAACTATGGCACCTAAGTGTTGTCAGATGTATTCAGAGACAACAGCAAGCAACAAACCTGATAAGGTGCCGAAGATTACGTCAAAATGATCCTATACAGGGTATCCGCCGAGGCCGATCTTGTCTCTTAGCGCTTTAAGAGACGCGAGCGGCTTGCCAGCCCTCGCGCCTCCACCATCCACGCAGAGGACTCAAGGTGCAGCCGTTTCCGGCTTCTTTCGTATCCGCAGTCCCCCCTCTATTTCCTCGCCGCAGAGAACGCAACGAGGCAGGTTCCAGCCGCTACAGCTCTTGACCGAGAAGTGGTCGTAGCAGGCTGCGCATATCCAGTGTTTACACGGCAGCTCGTGTTGCGGGCGCTTCTTAAGGCAGCTAAAGCACGTAGCAGAGGAGCGGATCTTCTTCCACCTTTGCTAGAATGAGATGAGCTTATCAGCATGGTAGAGTAATGCTAATCGGCGTTGCCCGCGAAACTCTCTAAATTAACTTCCTAGACTTTTCATCAGCAAGTTCAAGAAGTCAAGACTAGACGAAAGCTTTAGCTTCCTGCTTTAGTCTGAGGTGGAAGTAATTTTGTGGAAGACACGGTCGATATGTCCCCGGTAGAGCTTGTCGAAAACTTCGGCGATGTCAAAGACTATGCCATTAGCTATGCTTGTCTAGGCAGGAGGGGCAACGCATAATGCATATCCCGCATATAATGGTCAAAAATAATGCTAGAAGCTACGACGGGAATGGCGAAGAACTCTAACATCTCGGCGGAGTCAACATAGTCAAGCAAATCGACCACACCCGCTTCAAGATATTAGCTTATAGGGCGCTTCACGCGCGTCGCTAGCGGCAGGTCCAACGGCGCTGGCACAGATAAGATAGTACTTGACGCACGCTCCATTATTCTATAAAGTGTCTTAGCAGATAACATACGTCCTGTCTACTCACGCCTCTTCTATACGCCGCTCACACCTGTTGCTAATTTAGCGCGGAAATCCTGCTAACTCGGTCGTTCGTGCGGAGTCCCTATCATGCCAAGTCCAGCGACGCTAATGCCGGCGAATCATGTTAACAAGGACGAGCCCGAACAACAGACTTCATCAAGACAGTCGCTAAGCTCTAAAACGATCTGTTTTTCCGACTTACTATCTAATTCTTCGTCAATGAGAAGCAGCCGGGGAAGCACAGGACTGTCAGATAGAGGCCCGTCAGACAGCCACGAGGCAAGATGCCGGGCGATGCTACGGAGACCGCCAGCAATGTCTTTAACGAATATGCACACGACACCGGCAAACGGGAGGGCAAGCCTACTAATGGTCTAGTCCGCTACGTGCTCAGCGCTTGTGGCCTAGGCTGCTGGTGGGAGGCGGTGGCGGACTACTTCGTGGTACCGCGGCGGACTAGGCCCTGCTGGGATACTCTTACGGACGAGTACATCGGTTTCTACTATAAGCAGTGGCCTGCTTATTTGCCCTTTCAGCAATCCCACGACAAAATAGATCTCTCTCTGAGTCGTCAAGTACGGCGCAACAGCTAGGTCGCGAAGCGCGGCGACTTTACTCTCATTGCCGAGCATGAAAACAACTTCCATAGAGTCACCGGGCAAAAAGCCGCGCAATTAATCAAGGAGCCTCCTCAGGCGATCCGTCACCTGCAGAGCAAAATTATCGTCATCTTTTACCAGGCGCGCCTAGAGAGTGTGTTTACAGGGCATTTTGTTTACGTTGCTGTTGTAAAGGCGGAGGGTGCCACGGCACGCCTGTTTATATACCCGAATGAATCAGCCAGAAACGGCGCTGCATAGCATCTCAGCCTATGTAAGTGCGATAGGACGCCATTTCGAACTGCTCTGTCTCTAGGTTTATAAGTATAGAGTACATAAAGGCCACGTAGGCAATATGAGTGCAGTGCGTCCGTAGGTGTGGGAATGCTAGTTTATGCATCTTGTGCTATGAAAATCTACGAGTGTGGGACCTGCGGGAGGCGGCGTGTTAAATGGCCGTATAGCTCCGCCGTGTCCATCTATTGGAGAGTCATCCTGCTTAGGCTCTTTGGAGCGTCACGCGTCGTGGATACTTATTCCCACTGTAGACCTTGTCGACACCGAGAAGTCGTTAAGCATTAGACAGTCATTGAGCACTGTGTTCTGTGCACTTGTTGCAGTGCTACCGAGCACGGATGCGGAGTGTTTCCACCGGAATATTGTGTCGAGCTTCCCTCTGAGCCTCTTAACTCTCACTGCTAAGTATAGGCCGCAAAGGCCGGTCCTAGTTCGCAGTGGACCGTCCGCCACCTTTTAAGTATCACCTTAAGGCAGGGCTCTAGGTACATTTATAGAATCACGAGACGGTATCAAATAAAACTTTCGTTCAACTGCATGAATGGATTACCACAGACTAAAGTAGAGTCGCCGCTGCTAGGCGAGTGCCTCTATGAGAGCATACTATGCCTATTTTCTAGATAGCTCGCCTTGCTGTGTTTTATAGTGTTTTGTGTTGTTTTGTTGGAGGGGGTGGCTGGCCACCTCAGGGGCAGTTAATGTATCCTATGCCAGATCTAGGTTCTCTGTCTCCAGGCCTCCCACGTCCTAACCCTCCATGCCCGTCCCGGCGTTAGCTTCCCAGGCCACCGCGTCTTCTATGCCCGCCATCTCCTCAGCCTAAATCGTAGTATGCTCTATGCCTACTATATAATTAGTCTCTCCCACCACATTAGTCTCTCTAATCATATTAATCTCGCCGCTTATGTTAGTCTCTCCCACTGTATCGGCCTCTCCTACTGTATTGGTCTCTCCCACTGTGACAGCCTCTGCCACCGTATATTCGTCAAGGCTCGCTTCTCTGCTCGGTGATGTGCAAGTGATAGACGCAGAGTATAGTATTTCTCCACCGTCGTCGTCTGGTATATCGTAGATACTCTAGGGAATGTCGGCGGCTTTTCGCGCCCTGCGATGCCGGCCTAGATTGTTGGTCTTTTGAGAGATGATGGCAGCGTGGCCTGGACGACACCCGCTGACGTCACGCACTTTCGGTGGTTCGCCGCCTTTCGAAAACTCATTCACCTAAGGAAGCCTTGTGAGTAGCATGCTCTGCTACGCAGGGATCTTCGATGCTTACTAGTGCAGTGAGATCCGGGAATGACTTGCTAGTGGGACAGTGCATCGCGACGTGCTAAACACCATGCGTTAGGTCTTCATATAGGGTAAGTGTGCGTATTCTGGCTATCTCCCCTAACTACTTCGTCTTCTTCTATAAGCTAGGACCGCGCTTTCGTGTAGTCTCTTTTTCTTTCTTCATATAATTAGCGAGGAAGGCTCTAGCAGTCATAGCGTCTACGCAGAAAGACGATTCTATACAGCGACTGTAAAAACGGCTTCGGTTTAATACATATATCTCCATATTACAGGGAAGTCCAGGTTTAGCTTCCGCAAGCTGATTATAGCCAGTTTTAGTTAGTGGCCTAATTATGCTAAGACGGGCGCACCGGCGCCTGCCCTACCCGCCTTATTCGGATCTTTTTATGTCGAAATGGGTGGGCACTGAACCTAAACTAAAGTGTATAGTATTTGCCAGTTTATTACTCTACAAGCCTGCCATTACGCAACAGACGTGTCCGGTACGCCCACCAATACGGGCTACGAGTGCAACCTTACGCTATACGCGGCCGCCATAGTTTGCCGCTGTTCCATGTATACACGATTTGGTTGACGTTAAGGGCGCTAGGCTCGGCCCACAGGGTACAAGGACCACCCCTGATCGGGAATGGGACGTGGGTCAGGGAGGCGTGCGGAAAGTGTTTTCTAGCAGCTATTCATAGACATGAGGGTGATGGCCGTTAAACGGCCGCTGGCGCCACGCGGAAACGCGAATTATTTTTCGCCCCGCAGAGTCATAATAGACCATTAGAAGTGCGTGGAATGCGAGAACCGGTGGAGCTAATAGGGTTAAGAGTAGCGGCCGCTATCCTGTCTAGATTTGGCGCTCTCGCAGGCTGTAGCAGTCACATGTGCAATAACCTATGCGTTCCGCCTATCTGCCTTGCCAGTCTACGCCAGCTGATTTTAGCGCTATGCCAGATTAGGTAGATCTAGTATGTCTATTATAGTCATAAGAAAGATTAGCATGGAAGCTGTCGTCTTAGACGAGTTAACGCATACTTAGAATATTAGCGCGGAGTAACACCATACATTCATTTATCACTTAGTACTTTAATTAGCTACTTACATGGGTCATCTCTAATCAGGAAGACAGGCTCCTAACATTTGCCGCCAATAGCTAAGCAGATCGTCATCCTAGCAAGGTAATAGCAGCCCAGTATGCCTCCACTTAAGTCTCTATTGTCTATGCTTCTAGCGCCGCTACACGCATAGGAGGCTACGAAACTCCGCCCTAAAGTCTCTCGTCGCTCTTCCACTGCTTATTGAAACTTTCCAGGTGGCCGTTAAACTCAGACACAACCGCGCGCAGGCCCTCCGATAGATGGAGGATTTGTGGCATGGCTTTGTTCTCGGCACGGAGCAGGCCCTCGAAATAGTTAACTTATCGTCTTAAGTGCCTATTTTCTTACATTAGCTTCTCTAATCGTGCCTCCACCGTCGTTAGCCTAGCCTCGGGGCGGTTCTCGCCCGAAGTGGTTGTCGTGACCTCGTATCCGAATCTATGCTACATTATTGCCGTCCCTAAGGCCTTTAATGGCGAAAGAAGTTTTAACTGTGCTTTATTTATATTTAGTTGTTTCTATATGCCTGACGCCATGTCAGGCCGCGGGTAACTTGTGGCTAAGGGTACTTTGCGCTGCGACAGACGCTGTTGGAAACGTTAAAACCGTGGCACTGGACCAACGCCTATTATGGCTGCAGCCTGATAGGAAGCCCTTGCTATGGACGAGAAAGGACAGGGGTGTGTTCCTACCACTACGCGTCCATCGCTATTACGGGGCGTGTTTTATTAAATGACTATTTAGCTACTTCTAGCCACATAAAATACACATAATAACGTTAAGAAGCGCTAGCTTGCCGGTCTTCAGCCTTTAGTCATTACGCTTATTATCTTCGCTGCTCCTATGTGTAGGTGTTAAGCTAGTACAATCCCGCATTACTCCGTATCTCTCTTACAGCGGTTTGTCGAGGTATGTGTGAACCACACCGCAGACTTCTACAATAATGACCAACGTCCTGCGGCTAGGTAGTATCCATTTATGTCGACATAGTTTTATATTTGCCTGCCTTGCAGCCCTAAGCCACCAACAGCAATAGTGACTGAGTAAATGATCGCGTTATAGCCCCTTACCTCCTATACCAGCGTGGCAGTACTAACTTATGCACTTTGCGGACTAAAGTTAGCGTAGAGATTCAGGAGAAGTGAGGACGAAAACGGCCACCCTATAAATACCGCCTCTCACCCTCTATTCCCTAACGCGACAACAACTTTCTCTGGCTAACATTTCTAGCATGGGCAAACAAAGCGCTACCGACCGCCATGCGGGGGCCACTAAAAAGAAGCGCGCCTATGTAGAGTAACACGCCTCTGCCGCGCCCGGCTATGGTAGCACTAACCAGCTGCTTTTTACCACGTAGTAGTCTCGTCCGTCACGCATATCATATAAGTAACATGTTGCTGCCTCTGGTTCCGTGCGACATAGCCAGCAGCCAGATCACTTCATGTATGGCTCTTAGCCGCAGCCAGCGACGGAAGGCATAAACACGGAAAGCGACAGAACCGGCTCCAAGGCCAGCCTAGCAGGCAATAGCTATGATCTAGACCTGGCTACTGCCGTGACTACCATGTCTAGCTAAATCCAGAGCCTATATAAACTTATATAGGAGTGTTATACTGCGATTAAGAAGAGCCACATAGCACAGAAGGATATGTGGGCTGCTGCGCAACTACACGGGGATACTGTCCGGATATAAGTCGGCTAGGTGCCAGACTATATAACGCAGCTTATTATGTGCAGGTTAATAGACTGGCTTAGACTTAACAATACGCCCAGCATAAGCCCGCTGCCTAGCTACGACGGAACAGGCCTGGCCACGTTCACGCCTAGAAATCCGCCGCCAGGGCCACCAGACCAAGGAGGCACGGGTCAGTTCCCATCAAACGGTTTTATTCAATAGCTAGAGGGAGCAGGCGGCGAAGCATACTATAGTGGATTAAGCAAAAACAGCTATCGTCCCGGCTTTTAATCGTGTAGGGTCCTGTGTACACATCTACAGAGAGCTATTTGGAGACTAGAAGCAAATTACTACGTGATTAACGCGACTATATAAAGAATACTACCGCCGCGAACTTTGATCGTTAACTAGCTGACCACAATACGTTATGTTAAGACGAAAGCCACGAGTAATGCCACTGCGGGCAGCCGCGGTTAGCATTATGCTCTACTGTAATCGCCATCTAGACGAGGACTATCTACCGCTGCACGATAGGCCACCTGGCCTGCCGTCTGCCGCGTGGATAGCTGCGCATAGGGAAAACCGCAGTCGGCAGCTGGTTGTTGTGTAGCAGATTAAGAATGACCGCCTCTATGAGCTTCGCTCCCTCGCGGCTATATCGTCCCCTAACATCACTTATCTTCTCGCCGTGTACCACTCCGGCAAAGCCACGTTCTCTATGCAAGAGCATATTAACCTTAACGTGCTAGAGCTAGCCCCCTTATGCGAGCGCGAAATCGCCGCCGTTTTTTCCTAGGTAAATGCCCCACCGTAGCCTTTGCTAAGCCACCTAGCTCACGATTCGCGATGCCAGGTTCTACGAGGGCTGCTAAGTCTTCTAGTGCTCGGCGTGGGCTTTCGCGTTACATACATTCGAACGACCGTAAGCGGCGCTATTAAGCTTAGTAAGTTGATGGATCGTTTA